GGGGGGGGGGGTACACTGATCAAAAAAGGTTGAGAACTCCTGCTCTAGACTGCTTACTTGTAAACTACTGAAGTTTTATTGAACTCCTGCTTGGGAAATGTGGGAAAACAGAAAAAAGTGTCAGTGCCCCCAGCAACAGGTCACCTACCTGTTGCTATCAAGCTCAAAATGGAGTTAAAAGGCATGAAGACAAACTACATCATCAAGTTGTGGAACAAGTTTAAACTATTTCAGTTATGGACTTTAAATATTTAAAAATAAGAGTTTCAATGGATTGTAGAGAATAGTACTTACTTTAAAAGGTTTATCAACAGACGTGCAAAACCTTGCATCATGCTGATCTCCAGCTTTTGAATCGTCACCAACTCATACAACAACTTGATAAAAAGCACATGATCTTCTTTACTAAATTTTCTCCCATATAAACGGATATACCTATAAGCAAAATAAAAGGAATAAAAAATATGCTTTAAAGAGTTTCATCTTTGGTGACAGAGCTGCCCAAGAACTTTGTTGTTAAACAACTTGAAGTTAATCTACCCTAAAGTCTTACCACTAGAGCAAAGGGTCTAGTTATAGCCTGCTAGTAAATGAAAAACATTTACAAGAGAAATAAAAAGCCTAAAGCAACTGAGAATTGAACAACACAGCATAGCATGTCAGAATGATTTAAGTCACTAGTTTTAACTGACAAATGCAAGATCTTTCTCTAAAATAAATTTTAATCTTGTTCTATATTTGCTAGGCCTTTTGCTGGTGCTTTTGTGTTAACTTCCCAAAGAAACGTTAAGTTTAATTAGTTAATAAGCTGTATGACAAGTTGATTTACAACTAAATACAGACTTTATTAATGAGGGGAATATACTAGATAGACATTTAAGCAATTATATACTGTATTTTTGTTCCATACAAACGTGCCCCCAAATAAGATGCACATCCTTCTTCGAAAGAAAAAAAATTAAGAAAAAAAAAATCTCTCCTTGAAAATATTGGCAAGTACAGTATTTTCCAAGAGAAAGTGCAGGCAATTGCAGGGGGCTGAGGGTTGGAGGCAAACAAAACACTGGGGCTGTTCTACTAAACCCCAACTGCAAGAGACTACAGGTGCTGTAGGCCGAGCCAAACTACTTGGATAGGACTGTGCGAGGCAGCAAGTATTCAATTCTGATTCAGCCCATTTGCAGGCCAGTGATTTGATTCAGAGATCAAATCACTATCCTGATTTGATTTGGCCAAATCAGATCCAAAAGATTCAGCGCCACTTCAGAGATTCAGCCATAGACTGAACAGTAGGGCTGTAAAAAGCTTTGGATTTGGAGATGATTCGGAAGCCGAATCTATGAATCTGAATCGAATCACTGGAAGCTTTAGGCTTTCTGAATCAATTTGGAAACGATTTGGTGATTCGCCCATAGGGTATAATGGGGAATCAATGAAATAGCTATAACTTTGTTGTCTTTTGGCCGATTCAGATGAAACTTGCCGAGATGGTAGCCTCTGCTGAAAGCATGACACGTGCCACCTTTCAAGACAATAGGTACAGGGGTTTCTGGGAAACTGCACCTCAAGCTTCTGACAAGCAAAGCTTGTGACACAGGTGACACTGTATGTGTTAAGGTGCAGCAGGGTGAAAGCTGCAGGCCTGCTAGCCCCTGCTGAGGCCACAAAGCCTGCCAGCTGTTAAGGAGGTAAGTGCAGGAGCTTCTGGGTTCTGGGGCCCTGCGACTCTAGCTGCTGACAGGCAAAACTCATGTCATAGGTGCTTGTGCAACCGTGTCTGTTTTGGGGCACAGGGGAGGAGGAAGGGAACTACTGCAGGCCTGGCTGCTATGTTACTGTGTTACCAATCAATCATGATTCACTCAGGGACCAGCTCAATACACAGTAGCTAGCTACTAGATAATAAGTTAACAAGCAAGGATTAACACCTAGAAAACCACAGACCAAGGAAAGGAAAGAATCAATACAGAGCCCACAACTGCTTCTGACCCAAGACAGAGACAGTTAGTTGCACAATCACCTATGACACAAGTTTTGCCTGTCAGCAGTTGGAGGTGCAGGGTCCCTACACCTACCTCCTTGACAGGTAGCAGGCTTCATGGCCTCAGCAGGGGCTAGCTTCTTCTGAAGCTTTCACCCTGCTGCGCCTTAACACATGCAGTGTCACCCATGTCACGAGTTTTGCTCGTCAGCAGTTTGAGGTGCAGTTTCCCGCAAAACCCTGCACCTATTTTCCTGAAACTTGGCAGGCTTTGTGGCATCAGCAAGAGCTACCATCCCTGCAGTTTTCACCCCACTGTTTCTTAACACACATACGTGACAGGCAGTTGACACATCTGCCTCCGGCTGGTAAGTCTGTTGGGGTTGGGGGAGGTAGAAGGGAAGGGTTGAGGGAGGGATTGGGGCTGAGACAAACTACCCAGCCGGGGGGGAGGGGTGCAGGATGCAGGCACAGCTTGCTCTGGGCAGAAGGGGGCAAGCGGCAGCAGGGCACAACCCCCACTCCCAGCACTGCCATGCTTGCATGCTGCGCCAGCTTGGAAGCAGCAACAGAACAGAGCCCTCACTCCCAGTGCTGATGTGGGCGTGGCAGTGCTGGGAGCAGGGGCTATGCCCTGCTGCCGCTTTCCCCCTTCCACCTGGAGTAAGCCATGCCTGCTACCCCCCCCCCCCAAGCACTGGCTGGGTAAGTGGCAGCAGGGTATACCCCCGTTCCCATACCTGCATCAGTGCTGGGAGCAGGGACTCTGTGCTGCCGTCACATGCCAGCTGGTGCCCAGGGGGGAGCGCGTGGGATGCAACATGAGCCTCTGATTGGGGAAAGGAAAGTAATGCCACACAGGGGCAGCTCATACCAAGTAACTTTCCTTGGCAGAGGCTCCTACTGAAAAAGCTGTTATATTGCCATATTTCCCTGCTTAACCCCC